TCACCTCTGTTGATCCCCAATTTCTCACCTGATGGCCCCCCTGCGACTGTGCCTGTCTTAGGTTGTTCCTCCCTTGAGGAATCTTAGCCGTCTCTGGCTAACCAGTCATCTTCCGGGGCCATACAGGGAAATTTAAAGTTGGTGAGAGAGAAGCAATATTGTTTGAAAAGGTTAGCTTTTTATTTCTTTGCAGATTTATGCCCTGTGGCTTCTATGCCCAGCATTTGTCTTGAGGTATCTTTACCACTTGGAAGAATTATGATACTCGGTAGTTACGATATGAGGCACGAAGATTTTTTTTTTATTTAATAATTGAGAAATTATAATGGTTTGGAGAATTGTATCTTGGAAGAAAACCACCATATATAGTATCTTATGGATAGCATTGGACATTTCAGAAGTTGAAGATTCTTGGTTTAACTGACAACAGTTTTTTCAGCTGTCAGAGGGGCTTGGAATTGATCTCTGAAGGTGTCTTTCTGCTGTGTCTGATTCCTGTAACCTCTTTTTGATTTGTCCAGAACACCTGATGATTTTTCACTATAAAAATTGTTTCAGTGTTTGTTTTTCTTTTAAAAGCTTTATTAGGGTATAATTTACATATCACAAAATTCATCTATATAAAATGTGTATTTTAATGAGTTTTAGTAGATTTATATAGCTATGCAAAGATCACTAAAATCCAGGTTTAGAAATCTCCATTATACCGTAAAGTTCCCTTCTGCCTATTTGAAGTAAGTTTCAACTTCACCCCTCCAGTTGTCTCCCAGTCAGCCACTGATCTGTCTCTATTTTTTTTTTAGCCTTTTCTAGAATTATCATAAATGGCTTCTTCTATTTATAAAGTATAATGTTTTTGAGATCCATCCATGCTGTTACATGTATCAGTAGTTTGTTCCTGTTTATTGGTGAATAGTATTCTTTTATATGGCTATAAACCATATTTTGTTTATCCATTAATTAGTTGATGGACAATTAGATTGTTTTTGTTTTGTGCAAATATGAGAAATGGTGCTGTGACCATTAGCAGTCTTTTTGTGGACATATGGTTTCTTTTCTATTGGATAGATAGCTAGAAGTAGAATTGTTAGGTTGTATGATATGTGTATGTTTATATTTGACATTTTTAGAAACTAGTACTTAATTGTTTTTCAAAAATGCTGTGCTGTTTTGCAGTTCTATCAGTGTATGAAGGTTCTGATTTCTCCACATCTTCACCATTACTTGGTATTGCCAGCTTTCTTATTACAACCATTCTAGTGACAAAATTCAAATGATCAATTCTTTTAATGGATTATACTTTGGGTGTGAAATCCAGGAAATTTTTGCCTAACCAAAAGTCACAAAGATTTCTCCTATGTCTTCTTGAAAGAATTTTATAAGTTTAGCTTTTACAGTTAGGTCTATGATCTATTTTGACTTAATTTTTTTTATATATTGTAAAGTAAAGTTATAAGTTCATCTTGGTTTTGCATATTGATAACCAGCTGGTTTAGTAATTTGTTGAAAGAACTATCCTTTCCCTATTGAGTTACCTTAACACGTGACAGAAATCATTCGACCCAATATGTAAGTTTATTTCTGAATCTGCTCTGTTGAGATAACTGTGGATATTTGTCCTTACAATGATACCTTACTGTTTTGATTACTGTAGTTTTATAGTAAGTTTAAAACTAGGTAATATAAGTCTTTCAGCTATCTTCTTATGAAAATTACTTTGGCTAGTCTGTGTCCTTTGCATATCCATATACATTTTAGCCTCAATTTTTTCATTTCTATAGAAGAAAAAAATCCACCAGGATTTTGGTAGGGATTGCATTGAATCAGTAGATGAATTTAGGGAAAACTGACATCTTAACAGTATTGAGTCTTTCAATCAATGAACTTGGTATGTCTCCTAATTTATTTAGTTCTTAGATTTTCTCAACAGTTTCTTTTTTATTTTTTAGTGCACTGGTTCTGAATTTCTTTTTTAAAATTTATCCCTAATCTTTTTGATGCTATAATGAGTGAAGTTTTAAAAATTTCATTTCATATTGTTTGTCACTAATATATGAAAATAGAATTGATTTTTGTTTATTGATCCTGTGACCTTACAAAGCTCCATGACTCATTCTGGTGGGTTTGTTTTTGTTGTTGATTCCTTTCAGTTGTATTTCTTGAAAACAGTGTCATTAGAAGTACACATTACTCTTACTCAGTGATGCTGCCACAGCTTAAAACATTTTTGGAACTCCTTACTCAGGATTTGTTGAACAAGTTATCAAGCACATACAAAAACTCACTTTCATTAGTTACTGGTGGATATTTTGTTCTAAAGCTTTTTCTTCCCTTTTTTCTTATTAAACAGACCTGTGCTGAGGATAGGTTACTTTTTTACATGTCTATTAGACATTAAGTGATGAAAGTTAGGTAGGTGGTTGGATATATGCATCTGAAGTTCAAGGAAAAGACCTTGGGTTGAGGTGTAAATGTGAATTGTCAGATCATAGGTAAAGTCGTAGGACTGGACATGTTCACCTAAAGGGACTGACCAGTAATCCAACAATCCTTGGAAGAAAAATTGAAGACATACTGAAAAAGTTTTGAGGTGTGCTGTGGGCCCAGGAATTTAGGAGCACCCTGTGGGAAACATATTAAGAATACTACTGACTGACTGTTGATTCATTTATAAGCTACCTGCCTGCATGAAATGCTATAATTTTTTTTAAATTCCTTGTTGCTGTTTTAAGGATTATACATGTCTTTCACAGGAAATTGAATCTGCATAAGGTCAGTAATGCCTGTACAGTTTTTTCTTTTGAATCATTTGAATAGTTATTACTGGGCATTTATCTTTTTTTCTTCGGAGTAATGTACTTTTTCATCCTTAAACATTTTTGTTACTTTTAGTAACTTAATTCCCAGTTTGGTATATTATTCTGATTCTGTTAGTTACATTGTTAATATTATAGACTTCATGAGAGTCACACCAGATATCTTTTTTTTCATTCCTAGGCAAATACTGTGGTCTGGGGTTGCAGATGAACCATTCAATCGAATCAAAAAGCAATGAAATAACAGTCCTGTTCATGAGTGGAATCCATGTTTCTGGACGAGGATTTTTGGCCTCATACTCGATTATAGATAAACAAGGTAATTTGCACTTTATTCTATGACTTCCACATTTTACAATTTCTAAAAACAAAAATGGAATTTTCTTTGAGTACCTGTTATCTAAGATTAGAATCGAGTAGAAAGACTGTTAATAACACATGAACTTGACAAAATTAGATCAGTTTCAGAATTCCAAAAATTGAAAGTGTATTAATTTTTATATAAAGTCCATATACTTCCTTTCTTAGTAGAGGAAATATGGATTTTTCACTTTATGAGATTGGTGCACATCATAATAACTTCAAAAAATCTGTCAGTTATTGAAATGTATCATATCAGTATACCAATTGTTTAGCATTTCATGGTACTGTGTTAAAGACCATCTTGGCATTCTTCCCAAAGAATAGAGTATCTTACCAGGAGTACCCTGGTACGGGGTGCCATCTGAAACAGTACAAAATAAATGAGATATTTTCTAGATTGCTAATGTTTAGAATCTGAAGCAGGAAAAAGTAAAAGCAAGGAAAAAAAAGTGGAATATAATGCAAAGTTTACTTGAATCTCTAAAATAAAATGCAGGACTTGAATGAAATCTCTCATGAGTTTTATCTCCTCTGGCATGTATTCATTCATTCTCCTCTGCTCCTAGGGGTACTGTGGTGAGAAAGTTTTAAGAAGTGTTAACTGTTACAAGGCTATATCAAAACAATCATTTAAAATTAATAACTAGCATGACGTTGTATTATATAAATGAGGAAATTGTTAAGAACCTCCTAGGTGTGAGAATGTTGATTGCCAGGAATGACTGAGGGCAATATAAGGTGTTCCGTCTCTGCTGGGATGGGTTCGAGATAAACACTATGTCTCATTTAAGTTTCACTTAGAATGTGATAGAGGAAAACTGTTCTGTGGGAAGAAAGGTCTGTTTTCACTTAATTTCTTAACTATGAACAAAGTGTGAAGTCTATAACATCCTTCAGAGAGTGAGAAAGAAAACCCATTTGGATGGAATAATGGAAAGAAGAAATGGAAACATGCTAAATGAACAATTAATATTTTTGACAGAACCAGGAATATTAAGGCAGTGCAGTGTCATAGAAGGGGCATAAGTAGCCCTGGCATCAGAGCCTGTCTGCCATGCACTACCGGGTGTCTGGCACAAGTCAGCTCACTGCTGTGAGCTTCGCCTATTAGTGGGCAGGCTTTGAGGACTAACTCTAACAGTGCATGCAGGGTATCTGATGGCACACAACAAAAGTTAGTTTCTCAGCTCTCACTACTGCACATATGCACACATAATCATTTCCCCCACCATCCGAAGAGTAAGGTAGAAAACACAGTGAGGTGATAGATTTCTATCCTGAAGGTCTTCGGTGAAAGGATGGAATGTAAACAATTATTTGCCTCTTATTCTCCTTATGTTTCAGCATCAGGTGAAATATTTATTTTGCTTCTTCATATTTTCCCTTTACTCTCTTTGTTATTTATCTGAAAAATAAGTATCCCCTCTCTTTATTTTTTTTTTATTTTGGGTTTCATTAATATGCAATTACAAGAGCAACATTGGTTGCTATGGGAACATAGGTTCCCCTCATTATCAACTCCCCCCCACATACCCCATTACAGTCACTGTCCGTCAGCATAGTAAGATGCTATAGAGTCACTACTTGTCTTCTCTGTGCTGTACTGCCTTCCCCATGTCCCCACCATGTTGTGTGTGCTAATCATAATGTCCCTTATTCCCCTTCTCCCTCCCCACCCATCCTCCCCAGTCCCTTTCCCTTTGGTAACTGTTAGTCCATTCTTGAGTTCTCTGAGTCCGCTGCTGTTTTGTTCCTTCAGTTTTTGCTTTGTTCTTATGCTCCACAGATGAGTGAAATCATTTGATACTTGTCTTTCTTCACCTGGCTTATTTCACTGAGCATAATACCTTCTAGCTCCATCCATGTTGTTGCAAATGGTAAATATGGCTGAATAATATTCCATTGTGTATATGTACCACATCTTATTTTCCATTCATTTACTGATGGACACTTAGGTTGCTTCCATTTCTTGGTTATTGTAAATAGTGCTGCGATAAACATAGGGGTGCCTTTGTCTTTTTGAAACTGGGCTGCTGCATTCTTAGGGTAAATTCCTAGGAGTAGAATTCCTGGGTCAAATGGTATTTCTATTTTTAAATTTTTGAGGAACCTCCATAGTGCTTTCCACAATGGTTGAACTAATTTACATTCCCACCAGCAGTGTAGGAGGGTTTTCCTTTCTCCACATCCTTGCCAGCATTTGTTGTTCCTAGTTTTTTCTGTGTTGGCCATCCTAACTGGTGTGAGGTGATATCTCATTGTGGTTTTAATTTGCATTTCCCTGATAATTAGCAATGTAGAACATCTTTTCATGTGCCTGTTGGCCATCTGAATTTCTTCTTTGAAAAAGTGTCTGTTCCTATCCCCCGCCCATTTTTTAATACAGTTATTTGCTTTTTGGGTGTTGAGGCATGTGAGTTATTTATATATTTTGGATGTTAACCCCTTGTCATATATGTCATTTACAAATATATTCTCCCATACTGTAGGATGCTTTTTTGTTTTACTGATGGTCTCCTTTGCTGTACAGAACCTTTTTAGCATGATGTAGTCCCATTTGTTCATTTTTTATTTTGTTTCCGTTGCCCAAGGAGATGCGTTCAGGAAAAAGTTGCTCATGTTTATATTCAAGACATTTTTGCCTATCTTTTCTTCTAAGAGTTTTATGGTTTCATGACTTACATTCAGGTCTTTGATCCATTTTGAGTTTACTTTTGTGTATGGGGTTAGACAATACTCCAGTTTCATTCTCTTGCATGTAGTTGTCCAGTTTTGCCAACACCAGTTGTTGAAGAGGCTATCATTTCCCCATTATATATCCATGGGTCTTTTATCATATATTAATTGACCATATATGTTTGGGTTAATATCTGGGCTCTTTATCCTGTTCCACTGGTCTGTGGATCTGTTCTTGTGCCAATACCAAATTGTCTTGATTACTGTGGCTTTGTAGTAGAGCTTAAAGTTGGGGAGCATCATCCCCCCTGCTTTATTCATCCTTCTCAGAATTGCTTTGACTATTTGGGGTCTTTTATGGTTCCATATGAATTTTAGAACTATTTGCTCTAGTTCGTTGAAGAATGCTGTTGGTATTTTGATAGGGATTGCATTGAATCTGCCGATTACTTTAGTCAAGATGGCTATTTTGACAATATTAATTCTTCCTATCCATGAGCACAGGATATGTTTCCATTTATTGGTATCTTCTTTAATTTCTCTCATGAGTGTCTTGTAGTTTTCAGAGTATAGGTCTTTCATTTCCTTGGGTGGGTTTATTCCTGGGTGTTTTATTCTTTTTGATGCAATTGTGAATGGAATTGTTTTCCTAATTTCTCTTTCTGCTAATTCATAATTAGTGTGTAGGAATGCAAGTATCCCCTCTTTTTAAAAAAGCTTTCTCGCATTGCATATTTAAATTGTGGAACTTTTTGATCCAAAGAAACCTAGATGTCCTGCATTAAAACTTCATAAGAATTGACAGTGATCACAGTTAGCAGAATCAGTGTATTGTGGACTTGCATGTATCTGTTTTAAGTTTCAAATGGCTATGCCACTATTTTAGATATACCCACCATAATCAGGAAACTCTTTATAATAACATTTTTCAGAGTCATAGTCATTTCGGAAAATCCTTACTTCACAGCTCTCTTCTGAGTTTTTACTTATGTTTTTGCATGTCCTGTAACACTGGTTGAATTTCTTATTACTTCTTCTTGGGTGGCCTTTTAGACACAATCTCTTGTAATGACTCATTCATCTGAAGGCTGGTTGGCTTTGGTGAGAGCCTCAGTTTGTTTCCATCCAGGAAAACTTAGCTGCCACACTGAATTCCCTGAATATTTTCAAGAAACGTGTCTCCAGCTTAGCAACCTAGAGGAAGGTTTAGTATATCTGGAAATGAAAAGATTGTCAAAAATCTTGCTTCACCAGCTTCTTCATTTGTTAAACTCTCTCAAAGGCTTGTTAGTGTTGTAATGTGTGTTGTTGGCAGAGTTGTCATTTTGTGTGAGATGTTCATTACTTTGTGACAGAGCCCATTGCAAAATTATATCCCCTTCAATGCCTTATTTCCTGCAATAAGCCTGGCATTGGGAAAACAGCAGCACCTAACACAGATGCAATCCTGCCTTTATGGGGCTTACAGTACAGAGTCGGAAAGGGCTTGCAATTATGATAAGTATGATGAAGGAAACATTCAGATGATGGGAGGCCAGAGGGGTGGGGGAGTGGAAGACTGGTAGAAGGCAAAGCTGGCATGAGAAAGTCACTTCTAAGATGAAAACTGAAGGATTAATTGGAGGTTCCAGATAGACAAAGAAGAACATTCTTGGGAAGAGAATAGGAGGCTCAAAGGCCTTGTGGTAGGGAAGGAGTGTTGGGGTTGCTGGACAACAAGCCAATGTAGTTGGGGTGGAGTGAGTGGTGAGTAGGGCACATTACTGAGGGCTTCGTCGAGAACGTTAGGGTTAGGCTTTTTCCTAAGAGTGCATGGAAGCTGTGAGGACTGGGTAGTGCTGTGACTGTATTTACGTGTGTGTGTGTTTTTATGGTCTTTCCTGCTCTGTGAAGCATGGGTTGAAAATAGGCAGGAATAATCCTAGTGAGGCCAATCACAGATGATTGAAGAAGGAGGTCCTGTTACAAATGTAACTCTAGAATTCCTTCAAAGACTTTAGTATCATATATATCTTCTACAAGAAGCATTTCAAAGAATTAGGATTCATCCTGCCTGGTTTCCTCACTGGGTAGCAAGGAAAGAGATATAAATATTAATCAGCACTTCTAATCATTCTTAGAGGACTGGTATTTTTAATTACATCTGAGTTGATGTAATTCCATCAAATTCCAACAAGACTTTCTGAAACTGAAATTTTCATCTGAAAATTGAAGATGTACATGGATGGACCTTAGGGATATGCTGGACATCATATCAGCAACTACTGTTTAGATGTTCTG